TCTCTGTCCGTCCCTCTTCCTCTCACGCCACGCCCGAGGCGGGCGGGGCGGGGCAGGGCGGTCCCACATCAGTCGTAGGGCCCGCCCGTGGCGCCAGAGGCTGGGCGGCCCACAGGCCCCGAGGGACTTCGCTGGAGCGTCCGCTGGAGCCCACCCCGCCGACACACCTTGCGTTCTCCAGCCCAGCTGCCGGCTGGCGCGCAGCGCAGAGCACGAGGGAGGTGGTGGCAAGGTCCCTCTTGCACCTTCTTTGCGATTCGTACCCGACACGACATGAACGGGGCTCCGCCGCCGCTTCGGAAATTCTCCAGAGTCTGGCGCGCAGCTCGCTTCCAGCTCCAGCCGGGCGGGTCCCCCCGGGGGCGTGTCTGCTGTGGGGCGTAACACGCGAAGGTCATTCCATCTCTGGACCCCGCGGCGGGCTCAGGGCGAAGAGAAAGAGAGAGGGGGGAAGGGGGGGGGCAGGGCGCGGCAGTGGGGGACTTGCCTCGTGGATTTGGCTGGCTGGGCTGGGCACGGCTCGGCGGCCGCGCCGGTGTCGCTGGTGGCGCATAGATGGGTGGTGGAGGGAGTGGGGTGTGGGAATATCGACCGACTGCTTGCCAACCCTACCACCTGCCTCCTCCCTTCCCCATTACCCCACCGCAGTCGTGCGGGTTGACATGTCGCATTGTCAGGCGAATAAATGGCTCCACTTTCAAATGCACGTAATATTAAAATATTTTTCGAGTTTATCATCTGAGCAGGCGTTACAAATTTACCAGCATCATTGTGTGGTACACTGCTCAGCTTGTTTTGATCAAAGTTTCGCCTCTTGTCAAAAAGGTACAAAAATAGTGACAACAAACACGGTTAACCTTATGTCGTTTTTCATCCTTCTGGACCACGGCCCCCCTTAATTTTTTTCCCACTCTCTTTGGTGTCCCGCTGCACAATGCCCCGGTACCCGGAGGTACCTAGTACCCAAACCGGCCTGCTAGATGGATCACTCCGGTGTCTCTGTGTGCCATGAAGGCGTCAGAGTGGCGGCGGGGCGGACAAGCCCGGGGGCACTCCGCCCTGCCCCGCGCCCCGCCACGCCCAGAGACAGGTAGAACGGGTGAGAGGGAGAGCTGCTGATTATACAGTGAGGCTGCTTGCTGACTCACGGTGGTCTTCTGCTTCTTTACTTGTTCTTCACTTCTCTGCTCTTCTTCTTCTTCTTCTTCTTCTTCTTCTTCTTCTTCTTCTTCTTCTTCTTCTTCTTCTCTTTCTTCCACAGAGCCATCAATGACTTCCTCAGCCGGTGCACACGCGCGCACCCGCATGCGAAGGGTCGGGTCAAGGTCATTTGTGCGCCAAATGAATGGCGTCAGGGCCACGCTGCCCGCCCGCCCCTAACGAGCTCCGTTCTAAACAAACATCGGGTCATCAATCTCCCTCAGTGCTCCTCGGGAGACTGCAGGCGCGGGAGGGTCCGGGCGCCTGCAGGGTAGGCAGCCGGAGCGCACCGCCGCACGCCGGAGGAGCGGGCGGCCTACCTCGGGCCCCTGCCGGCTGCGGCCGCCTCTCGGGACCGGCCGGCACGGAGGAGAGGGAGAGGGAGGGAGGGAGACAGAGAGCGAGAGAGGTATACAGATACGATACAGAGCGAGTGAGGAGAGGGAAAAGGACGCTAGGTGCATCAGCAGTAGGTAGGTGTTTTAAGGTGTAAGCTCGATTGACGTAGTATGGGACACTTCTTCCGCGATATATATAAGGCCGAGAGGGCATCCATCTGAGAGCGCTGGCGGCGGTGTCCGGGCCTGCCTCGCCGCCGCGCCCCGCCCCGTCCCAGCTAATTCATTCCTAATGAACTCAGTCGGAGCTGCGCTGCGCGCGCCGTGTTTTTTCCCCACTAAGTGACTTCTGTCTTCACTTCCCTCCGCCGACCGGCCAGGCCCGGCGGTCCGCTCTCGGACCCCATCCCCGGTCCGGACCGAAGCCGGACGGACGCAGCGCGAGTGAAGGTTTCGGTTCTGCAGTGTCAAGGTCATTCGGAGCACCCAGAAGTGGAGAGCAATGGCAACAATCGTATGGCAAAGTCAGGGGCAGCCATAACATGGTGAAAAATTAAGTTTCGTTATGACAGCGAAAATGATTACTTAATAGTAGTAGGTAATCCTGAAGTAACCGTTAGTTGATTTCTTTACGTTTTCTACATCTCGTCGCAAGGTGCAGGCCTACATCCGCGACAGACCCTCGCGACCCCAAACAAGCGCGAGTGGCGCGGCGGGGAGAGACAACCCGTTCCTGCTTGAACATGAAACGAGACTGATTTTATGACTCTGCGCGTCGGGCTGGAGAAGAGGAGAATGGGGAGAGGGGAAGGGGGAGGGTCACTCTTCCGGTCGCCAAGTCCGGCTACCTTCAGCTCCGGGTAGAAGCAGGGTGGCAGAACTTTCAGGTACAGGTCAGGTCGTCGGCGCTCTGGGTGGCAGAGAGAGAGAGAGAGAGAGAGAGAGGAGGGAGAGCGTGTGTGTGTGTGGGTCCGCTCTAGCTTTCTGCTTTGACGGCTAACGGCTATAAAAAAGACCTTCTTTGAGAGGGAAATAAAAAATTGCAGATGAGTTCCCTTTTAGCCCGGCCCGAGTAGGCTCTATATAAAGTGCTGCCACGCCCCCACGCTGTCCATACACACCTCGTTGATGAAACTGTCATTGGGAAAAGGAAGGGCGAGAGAGAGACAGGTTGAGAGAGGGAGAGAGAGGGAGAGAGAGAGAGAGAGAGAGGGAGAGAAAGACGGGTTGAGAGAGAGAGACGAGCTTGGCTGGTTGGTGATGAATGTCGTCCGCTTATTATGCATGTGAAATGACACGAAAACGATTTCCTAAATCGGTGCTTCCCATTTTCGGACGCGCGCCCTAAAAAGCAGCCGCCGCCGAACGAACGACGCGTCTGGTCACACTTCATTACGCAATCAAGGCGAGGAGGCGCGGGAGGACGGGGCGGCCGGGGTGTCCCAGGGGGTGGCGCGGCGCGGGCCGCCGGGCTGGGGCGTCCGCGAGGCGCGGAGGCGACGAACGCAGGCAATTTCGTGTGTAAATGCGGGCGCTAGCCCGACGCGGCGGCGTCAAAGACACGCGAGTTGGAAGGAGAAAAATCATCGCACCGGCGGGTGTTGAACGGGGCGTATGAATGTATGCATATGGGGGCGCCCGGCACCTGCCTGCGACCTGCGCGGGAGGTGCTGGGGCAGATGGGGCAGCAGGGCAAGCCCGGACAGGTAATTGTTTGCTTTATGGGTGTTTTGGAAACCACGTGCCGCCCCGTTTGTGTCTTTTACTTCCTCATAGGGGCATTTTTAGCAGATGAAAGGTTTAGTAGAAGGGGGCTACAACGACTTGAGCTCTGCACTTTGAGGTACGAAGTTAAAAATTGTCAGAATAGTAATACTTAATAGTAATATTTCCGAAAAATTGTAGACATCGGGTATTCTATTTCTTTAAATAATTGTTTATAATCTGTTCTTTGACGGAACACTTTTTCGTATGAAAATTGTTTTGATGTTTTTGTGTTAGGTAAATTTATTGTTCTTTCCATTAATTCTCCAGGCAAGGCATTAACATCATTAGCACTACACACGAAAATAAAACGTTTAAGTAGGAAATGATGGGGTGTCACTTTTATTTTTGTTTGTTTGTCTCGTCCAGTGCCAGACGGTGTACAGCGGGCGTAGACACAGACGAGAGTGACAGCAACACCTCCAGCGTGGCAGTTTCCTGTCCCTGTCCAGCCCCAGTGGCCTTGCAGTCAGACGCCACACGTGACTATACCGCCCCGCCCCTCTCTTGTGCCCTTCGCCGACCTTCAGGGGGGCATCAGGATAAACATTCATATAATTTTCTGAAAAGTAATTTAAAAATCTTACTAAGTATGTTTTTTAAAATTGTTGGTGGGATATCGACCTGCACATTTTTTGTTCCCAAAACTTTGTCTGGTGACGCGCCATATGCGTTTCCTGCCCACCTCGTGTCGCCTCATCCCCTCTGGTTGTGAATGGAGGGCTGCTGCCGGGTCCGTAATGACCACCCTTTGACTTCACCTGAAGGGGGTTCCTCCCAAAGATGAATGAAAACTGTGAGCGGCCTGGCGGCGTTTGGCGGAGCGGGGGCGTAATGACCATGTTGTTCACCTTGGCCGTGAGCCGGCCCGCCCGGGCCACCCTCACCTCACCCCCGGGCCGGCCGGGGCGGACAGGGCAGGGGCGGTGCAGCCGGGCGTCTCCCTGTCGGGCGGCGGGAGTGAGGCGGGAGGACCGCCGCCGCCCCGCCCTCGCGTAGTGTGTGTGTGAGGAGGTAACGCCCACCCCTCCCCGTGTTTGGACCGGCGACTGTCGGGGGATGTCAGACGTCACATGCCTTTCCTAAAGGGATGAGGTACAGCAGGGGGTACGAGTACTTTTTAATCGAGTTTGCTTCAGAGCACTGCTCCTTCACTTTTTTCAACGAGAGAATAATACGCATCAGTTCGCAAAAACGTTATTTTTGCGAACCGTCCGGCCAGCCCCTGAGAATAATGTGCAGCATCCTCGTGAGTCAGTGCGGCGCTAGTCACTCCTTTTTTTTTTTGCGTGACGCCGAGCGGTCTCCCCGTGCGGGGGGGCAAGGAACGAGACCCCGGCGTCGGCAAGGTGACGCGACACAGACGCGCGCGGCCAAGGGCACCGGCGGACAACGAGAAAGAAGCAGACGACGCCCGGTGCGGCCGGTCCGGGCCGCGTGGTGGGGGGGAGCCCGGCGGGGAGCGGCGGGGGTGTGGGCGCGGGCGGCGGGCGCGGGCGCGGCGGGGAGCGCGCCCATTGGTCCGCGCTCGGCCGCCAATGAGCGCGCGCTCGGCGGACCAATGGGCGCGCGCGGAGCCGGCCGGCGCGGCAGAGAGGTGGCGCTCCCCGCGGCCGCTCGCCCGAACTAGGCGACGGTGGCGCGGCGCTCGGCGCCCGGCCGAAACTCGCCCGACTAAAAACTGCTTCCACTTACATGATTATCATTAACGACAGTACTTGGGCGAGGGCAGGCTGTGTCGCTCCGCTCCGTGCCGTCCGCCAGCGTCCGCGCGCTGCGCTGAGAGCCTTCGCCCCCTCGTGTGCGTGCGTGCGTGTGTGAGTGTGTGCCATGCGACCTGGATACGCAGCAGTGATATACAGTGAAGTGATGATGTGCTGACGCTGAGGTTCTGTTCGGCTCCTGCAAGTGGCCGGCCTAGCCGGCCAGCCACCACGCTGAATTTCTCGGACCTCGGCAGCCCGTTCGGAGCGGGTGGCTCGGGGGGCGGCGGCTCCAACGCGCCGACACCTGGCCCCATGGGCACCGGCGAAGGCCTGGACCCCGTGGGTCCCCCTCCGGGACCCCAACCCCAGCACCCGCACATGCTGGGCCTGGGGCCGGCGACGCCCCACGAGTCCTCGCCCCAGCACCCCAACAAGTCCGCCTTCATCGAGCTCCAGCAGCATGGGCTGCCCGGAGGACCTGGGGGGCCTGTCGGCCCCTACAACCCCGCCCTGCGGTATCACCCGCACTCGCACCACTTCCAGCACCAAGGAATGGGCTCGCCCGGGGGCGGCGGAGGCCCGCCCGTGCCGCACCCGCACCACCCCCACGACACGCCGCCCCCCTTCGTGTCGTCCCCCAGGTCGGCGCTGAGCGCCTACCCCTTTCCCCCCATGCACCAGAACTCGTACCCAGGATACCACCTGGGTTCCTACGCCCCCCAGTGCCCGTCGCCCGGCAAGGACGACTTGGACGGCTCGTACCTGGACGGTACGTCATGAGTGATAAGTGTTTATTGTGGAGTGCGTGAGTGATAAAGTGCCATGACGAGTGTCGAAAAGAAAGTATGCAAAGAAAGTGAAAAGTGCCAAAGTGAATAAGTGAAGTGCGCCCCACACTGGATTACGGGTCGTCTCTTTCTGAATGGTTCTCGATCTCAGAGTGTCGTAGTGAGTGCGTCAAAAGTGAGTGATGTGACGTGACAACGCCTACCCGAAGTTGTTACCACGACGAGCTCTAAAGGTTTGGCTGCCTCGAGTCTCTCACACAACGCCCAAAAGGATTACAAGGACTTTGTGCACCTACGGCCAGCCTACGACCCATACTCGCCCGTCAGGTAGCGCCGGACCGCGCACGCCGCCGCCGAGTGTCCGGCCTGCGCGCGCTCGCGCTCCGTGTGTCGCTCGCGATCGCTTTGACCCGACGAGAGTTCAATAACGGCCGTGTGGTCCATGCGGTGTGGGCGCGAGCACGACACACGGGGTGACGCGTCTGTAAACGACCCACGGCCAGTTTATCGCGGATGCAATCCAAATCGCGGCCGGACACGCGATGTTGCGTCCGCAATAAAAAGGGCCACAACTCGCGCCCAGTTAGCGCGCCGCGGCCGGCAGAGGACGGCGGCGGGGGCCGCGTGAAACATGTGATGATCTGCGCGCGCTGCCACTGACACACGAAAAAAAGGACGGGGAAAAACTGTGCGGTGGAACTAAATACATGGATCACCTACAGCCGCGTTGATTATTTCTGCGTGGGTCTTAATTGGGTCCAAATTTTGTGCTACTGTGCGCGCAGTGCGCGACGACAAATTAGCTGTCGATTGTGACGAATAAATTGCGCTGCCTATGCCCTTTTCCGGCGGCTGACAGCGACGATTTGCCAAACTCTGTCTCGGCTAATCGGCGGGGAAAAAATGAGATAGAGTCCAGGGTGGAGATAGAGTGTAGAGGGTGGACGGTAACGATACGTATACCTGGACCGGCGGCCGGCGGCACCGGGCGGGGCGGTCCTTTATGGGCGCCAGCACACGATGCCCACCCTCGGCAGACGGACAAAAGTGCGTCTGATTTATCTCGAGACCCACGCGACCACACAACCGCCCCCTAACCTCCAAACCGCGCCGTAAAACAGAAAAGCCGCTCGCAGAGACCGTGTAGGCCGACTATAGGCCCCGCCCGCCACACTCGCACCGCCCTTTGAAGTGTGTTATTTGTTCGATAACCTGGCAGTTTGTTTATTTGCGCTTTTGTGTCGTGATCAGAATAAAGTATAGAATATTAAAAAACAAACAGAAATAATAGTAATGAATTTTCAGACGGGCAAAAGTGGTCAATGTTAATTCTAAAACTAAACGATTTTAGTTCGGCTTTTAGAACGCTGTTTTGATTGTAATCAATTTTAGACGAAAAAACGCAACAAAGGCCCCTGATTTTAGAGAATTTCTTCGTCGCTTTCGCATGCAGTCTTCTTTGCTTAAAAGGGCGCGCGCGCGAATAGCCAATTCCACATACTTTACTCGATCGCGCCAAAACAAACGTTATTGTACATGAATGCGATGCGAGCGCTGCGGGCGGGTGTCGGTGCATGCGCGTGCGTGTGTGTGCGTGCGTTCGCGCGCGTGCTGGTGCGCCACTTAGCGCGCACATATTGTGCAAAGAAGGGACTTGTGAATTAATCGGTCGGTAATTGCCCCGACACACGCGCGCGCAGCCTGTCACACGTGGCGCTGCGGCGGCGCGAGTTGACCGCGCGGCGCGACCGCGGAGGGCCGAGAGAGAGGGTCTGTTCGTCGCGCGTTCAGTTCCCTCCCGTGAGACGCGTACCTACTGTAGCGCATTCATCTCTCGGGAGCGCGCAGGTCGGTGTAAATCCTCGCGGTGAGACAGGGGAGTGCGGCTCGCGGGGCGGGAGGGGCAGTCGTCTAGGGGGAGTCCCGGGGGGCCTAACGGCGATGATATAAAGTACTGGAACACATCAGTGGCAGGCGATAAACACAGTGAGCATGGCGCGCAGGCGAAGGCTGATGCGGGGTTGTTTCTGGGAGGCGCGAATACCGCGACAGTTCAAAAAGATACTTCGTTATTATTATTGCTAATTTTCAAAGATCATTTTGCGTGACAGACGACTTTTGGTTCACATCTTGGTAGTAGTCGGAGATCTGGTGGGCACCCCAGTTTGCAGGGTGCTCTACTCCCCGGTGTCTGCAAGCCCCTCTGTGCGTCTGGTGCTCATATTGGTGGCCGTGGGGGCCTCTGTTGCTTGGTGTGTTCCCCTGTGTCCGTAAGGGCCTCTGCGTTGCACCGTGCAACTCGGTACGCAGGGGACACTCTATGCGGGGGCTGCTCGGGGGTGTCTTTGCTAGCTGGATGCATCTCGGTGGACATGGAGAACTCTATGCGCGGGGTGCTGCCCGGTGCCCGCAAGCCCCTCTGCGTGCGCGGTGCTTGTGGCCGTGGGGACCCCTGTTTGCAGGGTGCTCCTTCTCGGTGCCCGTGGGGCCCTCTGTGCGGCCGTCGATTCGATAAACAACCGCGCAGTGACGTTACTGCCTGGCTAAGGCGCGGCCCCGGCCCGGCAGCAGCACTCGATTTGATTTACCGCGCGGAGGTCCCCGGCCGCCCCGCCCAGCCCTCCCGGCCGCGCTCCCCTCCCTGTAACTGCCCTGCCTCGCCTGTCCAGTTACGTGTTTATTTTTCTCCCACCTTTTTTTTCCCCTCCGTTCGGGCCTAACCCTATTGCGGGGTGGTGTATGCCGCTCGCCGCGGGGAAGCGATGGACGGCAGCGCACGCGAAAATGAGCCAGATACATTATTGGGGTTGAGTCCCGCTTCTACCCTTCGCTTCCTCCCCGCCTGTTGAGCGGCAGCGACGCTCCTCCACTTTTCCTCCCCAAAACGGTTTAGGCGCTCGCCAAAAGCAGCAACAAGTCGTGGCTAAAACGCAAAGAGAGAGGACGAGTAGCGCACGAGAGAGAGAGAGAGAGGGAGAAAGAGAGGGAGGACTCGGCGGCGCGCAGCTCGCGGCCAATTATACGAACAGGATTACCAAATTGATAAACAAACGGAAATTAATTACCCCGGCAGCGTGTGTGATTCATCCGTTGAGTTGGCAGCCCCGGCGGCCCTGCCCCGGCGGACCTGACCACTAATAAAGCCAGGCCTGACAACGTTAAAACACGGAACAAGCCAAAGCGGCGGTCGGTAATGAAGTTAGCCCGCCCGGTGTTTGGGTTGGCGGCGCTGCTGCAAGGACAGTGGCCGCCCTGCTCCCCGCCCTGCTCCGCCCAGCGGCGGCGGTGGCTGGACGCGCTAAATAATGGACCCATTCATCTCAATCGCGCACGAGAGGAGAAAAAAAATATGACGGATTGCTGTGAAATATGTCTGTTGTTGTGTTGTTGGTTCGGGGGCGGCCCTTTGGCCCCTGCTCCGCATCGGCCCCTTGTGGAGGCGGCCGAGGAGGACATTGTTGTGTTCACGTGGACGCCCTCTTGTTCATCGTGAAGCACGTACTCAGCGGGTACACGCGGGGAAAGGTTTTTAGTCACGTAGTTTCCCCCGTTTTTATCTTTTTGGAAACGTTTAAATATCTACACTACACTGGAAACGCAAGTGTGTGAATGTCGCTCACTTGCAAGTGTGTGAATATCCATTTGTACACTTATGGGGTAATGGTGTGACTTTTTCCTAGAAAATTGCGACATTTACACACTTGCGTTTCCAGTATACAAACCCACCAACAGAGTACATAGTAACACACATTACTTCCAGTGCGACATAACCACGGTGTGGTCACGCTCCCATGTCAAATCATTGGCACCGAAAAAACGAGCCCTACTGAACGTGCCAAGCGTGTACTTACAAGCACACACGTTGTAAATGTGAAATATGGCAAGCACACACACTTTGAGTGAACTAAGTAGTACTCACTGTTTGGGTTTGTAACGTTGGTGTAGCAAGAACTATTGTACCGCATGCACGCAGGCATATGCTGGTTTGCATACTATGGCGCCTTTTGGCCCTAAGCGACTAAACAATCTGCCCCACCCAGAAACCCGTTTGTCTGCGGAACGAAATAATAGTGTCAATAGAGCCGACAAAATTTTAATTCCGACAACCAAACTTTGATCGTCTTTATAACATGATCTAGTCATGTCATGTGTGATTTGGTTTGATATTTTTGTCCCACCTATTGTAATTTGTTCAAAATTTCTCATTAAACGTTTTTTTGGCGTAACGAAGTACATTTAATTCCATACAATTGTTTTTGGTTCTACTGGCAAATTGATTTTTTTTAGTACACACGCATACATGCAGTGCAGTGTCACTAATAAGTAAGGGGTAATATTTTTTTGAGGAGAGTTATTTTTGAAAAAAACATTTTGCTCGAACCAACGTTAAGGTGCGTCTTATTTAGCGCGTATATTGACAGGTGAACTCGTGCGTGCGTGCGACTCGACACCCTCCGGCCCTCCCTGCACGCCATGACCCATGCCCCTCTGTCACCATGCGGACGGGGCGGTTGATTCCCATGACGGCCTCTGAAATATACACGAGACACGCGGGACGCTGGAAAGGGGTGGGGGGTAGGAGGAGGGGAAGCGCGGGGTAAGAAAGGATATGGAAGCAAGGGCGAGAGGCCAGGTTAGACCGAATTTGAAACGGTGTGTGACAGTTTGTTGGGGAAGGTCGGGTGGTGTCACTACTCGCGGGGACTGAATGAATGGCGGATCGAATGTTATCTTCACTGCATTAACATGTTCGATAAGTCCAGACGAATGTGCTTTTGTCTTATCTCTCTGTCTCTCCCACCATTTCTCTTTCTCTCTTCCTCTCTCCCTCTCTCCCTCCCTCTCTCCCTCCCTCTCCCTCTCCCGTTCACTACTTCTCCCTCGCGCTGCTGGCCTGGCGGGAAGTCTCACTCCATCCAAAGTGATGGCTGGCCCTTCCCTCCCCCTCTCCTCCTGTCCTGCTCTGCCGCGTCCACACAGCAATTTGTGCTAATTTGTGCAACGCATTTATCACGGTTTTGTATGTGCTCGTCAGCATTTCTGATTCCCGTGTTGAGATGTGTGTGGCGCGGTGAGCGTATGCGTGTGCGTGCATGTGTGTGTGCGTGCGTCAGAGTGAGGGGGAGAAAGAGAGGCCGGTGCGTCCGAGATGTAAAGTGTTCTCGTTGTTGTTTTTTTGGCACGCGTGCCTTTGCCCGTCTTGCCGGGTGGCCTCGCGATAACATTCCTTGAAAATAGTTTTCTTTCATTGCAAGTAGTGGCACCCTAGAAAGGCGTCTATCGCATTGGTTCTCGAACCTTTCAAAAGCCCTCCTCGCCACCCTGGCGTTGAGTGCTCAACGTGTACATCATCGCGGGGAAAATTCACTACTACTGTTCTCCGCGTGGGAAAAACACCGGCGTTACACATGTGTATTTATGCATCCCGGCCTGTGCCTCCGGCTGCGCGCCCGCCGGCCCCGGCAGACGGGGCCTGCCGTCGCGGATGCTGTCATATCGACCCGTCTGGTACCCGCCGACACAGAAGGCGCTGACTCGGGGTTTTAATTGTGGCCAGAGCATCCGCAGGGCAGACGAGTGTTTCTCCTTTGTGGCCCTCGTGTGTCTCTTCGGCCCCTCCCGGGCCCCGTGTATGTATAGTGGAGGGGGGGGGGGGGCGTCAGGGGGCCGCTAGTGTTAAAAATAAAGTCGTAAGGAGAAATAATGTTTCCATTCAAAATTAAGGAAAATGTCAAAAAGCGTTCAGAAGTATGCGAGGAGTTATAGTTAGGGCGTGTTGACGCGTTGCCTACTCACCAGGGGCCATGGGCGGTGTAATAACTACGTAATGTTCTGTGATCAGTAGCATCCTGCCAAAAGTCCGGGAAAATACAATGTAGTGAGCGTTGGTGGGCTGTGAGGACGCCTGCCTATACTAGCCCGTCCCTGCACGCGATGACAGATGTTGGCTAGTAGGCAGGCGGAGTTGCAAACTGGTGTATTGTGCGGATTTTCGCCTTACTTTCTGCGGCAGCACTGCTTAGTGGGCCACTCTGTTAGAAAGCGATCAATACCGTTCATGAAATATACGCAAAACGCTTGACAAACTTTCTAGTCGTCGCTACTGACTGTGTTGCTGTGTTGGTTGTCGAGTGCGTGCGGGCCGGACTGGGCGGGCAGGGCGCGCTGAGGACGAGTGTTGTTCCCTCTGCAAAGAGGTTTCCACCGCACCGAGATGTACCGCACTGCATGTAGATTAGCCCGAGTGCGGACTTCCGGTAGTGTTTCACACTACGCTGAGTGGTAGCCGCTGGCCCCCGCCGGCCCTCGCCGGCCCGGCCTGTAGTAAGGGGTCGAAGTGCAGTGACGCAGCGTTTTGATACCGCCCCCCCGGGCCCTGATGGAGGCTGCCGCCCCAGGGCCCGGCTCCGCCCCGCCCCGCGCGAGGGCAACAAAAGTATAACGTACGACGGGTACAAATCAATTCACGCCCAAGAAACCAACACAGCCCCGGCTCTTTTCACACACCTTTTGAAGGCGACCGTACGTGAGAGGTAGCATTGTCGATGGCCTTTCTTGTTCCTACAAGAACGTGCTGCTGCAGGAGGGGGGATCACTCTCTTCTTCTCGGCGAGTTTGAGGTGTGTGTCGGCCGTCTGTCCCGTGGAAGCGCGGGCCCCGGCGGAGTGTGCGCGAAGCGCCCCCACTCCACTGCACCCCACCCCGCCCCACTCCGCCCGCGCGCTTTACGATATAAAGTTCCCATTCTTGCCGAGGTGGCAATAAATGCCCCGCTGATGAGATTATGAGTGTTTCAAACAAGTCGGATTGGAACATCCGTCTCGGGTTTCTCCGGCGGGAGGCGGCGCGCGAGCATTCATGGGTGAAATAGGGCGACACACGAGCTGCGCTGGGCCGCCCCCGCGCCGCCCCCGCGCCGCCCCCGCGCCGATCAGGCCGCCCGCCCGACAAGTTGATAATGGGCGATCGGTTGCACTGGAGCGGAGCGACCTTCCGAAATCGGACCGTGCTGTGTTCGTCGTGTGTTCGATGCAAAGGGACTCTTGATACGAGCTGAGCTGCGTGTACCACTGCTGTGTTCGAGCCATAGGGACACCCTTTCAATTACTAAAACAAGAAAAACAAGGGTAGTTTTTCATTAGTTTTTTTTTTTTTCGACAAAAAGCATACAAAAATCACATGTCATGGCACTTTATATTACGGCACTTAAATGTGCATGAGAGAATGGACCACTGTAAAAAATAATTATCCTGTGTAATGCTTATTCATATTTGTTTTCAAAATAAGTGCAAAGTTATCAAAACTGTTGTTTATCTTGAGTTGCGAAACATCTGTTGGTTTCAGCGGGAAGATGGTGTCAACTTCCTCTTCTTCCTCCTTCGCCTGGTTGTGACTTTGCCGCTCAGGAAGCAGGGATGAAGTGGAGGATTGACCTGCACATCTCCTCTAGTAAAAAAACCGCAGATTTCTTAGCTTGATATAATTACCATGGCGCACAACCACACAGACTGCTTTCATTGTCGTACCCCGGCCCCCTTGTGTGCTAATGGCCGTTCGATCGCTTCATTGTGTGCATCATATGCAGTGGCCTGGGGTATGACCCACATATTTTATAAATCGTGTTGGTGTCGGCTGGAATTGCGCTGGCCAGCCCACTCGTTGGAAGTAGTGTGCGGTTATCAGCACACTACGGCCTCCGTGATCTTTGCTTTAGTGAAGCAGTCTGTGTCGGTTATGCTGTCGACAGTTTGACAAATTTACACAACCCTGGCTCAGCATGTATGTGATGCACTAAGCATGTGAATCATATAATTCAGTGAATGAAAAGATCATTATGCATAAACAATTTGTTCTAACGGTAGAAATTGTTATTTATACACTGGTAAAACAAGTGCTTAATTTGTACGTCAATTGCTGTCATAGCTCAATCAAAGTGCAAAGTTTAGACACATTGTAGTGTGCGAAGTGTGACATTTCAGAAACGTTAGCAACTCCAAATCATTTGGCTCCCACTGTTAACACAGCAGACCTGTGTGCTTCCCGGCGTTTCTTAATGTGGAAACCTCAGACGTAAACGTTAGGTTTATATTCTGCACATAACGCAAGTGTGCAAAGTCACATATAATATTCAGGATCATGATTTGCACAGAAGTAGGGAAAATGTCACTTTTATTTTACCAGTGTAGGATAAGTAGTAACGCCGTCAGTACAATTTGATATGACCTATTTTACTAACAAACTTTTTGTTTTCTGAATTACTCGATAATGGTTGCTATGCGTAATACTTGCGTGCTGGACGTCCACGTTTTAAATACAGTTAGTCGTTCGCCACTCGGACATCGATTCCCGCGACACGATCAACAAAAGTCTGATGTGCTCATCCCGTTCTTTGCAGATAAATGCCTAGACGATGGAAGCCTACGGGTCAACGGCAAGGGCAAAAAGATGCGGAAGCCACGGACTATCTATTCATCCCTTCAGCTTCAGCAGCTCAACAGACGCTTTCAGCGGACGCAGTACCTGGCCTTACCAGAGCGGGCGGAATTAGCGGCCTCTCTAGGATTAACGCAAACTCAGGTGAGGTTTCATCATTTTCCCAACATTTTTTTAGAAATTTAATTATGGAATACTTTTAATAGCCAGATCAAAGACGATCGTATAAGGTTGTAAGTTGTATATATGGTGTATTATATTGGCGGTGGTGGTTGTGGTGATGGGGCTGGAGGTGTGTATGCAGCCACACTTCGATCTGGGGTTCAAATACCGACTGTGACTTTGCGTGGCTCGGGCGCGTTTGTTACCCCCGCGGGGGAGGAGCCCGCAGCAGGCCCGCAGGCCCGCGGGGCCGCGGACGGACGGGGAGGGCGCAAATCGATCCCCTATCAGATCGGCGCGCCCCTCCCGCCGGCCCCTCGCGGCCCGCCACGCGCGCCACAACGCACCCCTCTCCCCGACAAAAACAAAAATAGCTCTGTAAATGGATTACCTTTTTTCGAAACGTTACTATATAAAAATGGTATGAAATGTATGTGTGTTTTTCAACTGTGTGGAACCAGGAACCGAAACGCAGTGAGTGCTATACGGCCATACCAACGCGAGGAGGAATGCATGCGCGCCCTGCGAGGCCCATCATCATCAGACACGCTCCAGGCCACCGCCGCGGCCGACACCGCGGCCCGGGGCCCCCCGCGCAAAACAAATTGGCAATAATGGATTCGCGATGAACGCCAGGCCTTTTCCAGGAATCTCGCCATGATTTGCCAGAAAGTTCCGCAACGCGGGCCTCCGCCGCGCGCGGGTTCGCGTCTCGGCGCCGGCGTCTCGGCGGCGCCCTGGCCGTCGACGCCGTCGGGGTGGTTGAACCTAAACTTCGCCTCGCTCTGCACCGCCGCCTCGGCGCGCATTCCAAGGGCGGAGGTGTTGGTGGCCTGGTCGCGTCCTCCCCGCCCACCTCTATTGGCAGGCGACCCGCTCGGGACCCGCAGGGGCGTGCCAATAACGATGTGCTATAGGCAGTAGCGTATCACCCGCGCGCTGGTGGCGCGGAGCTTGGCATGACGTCGGGCATAAATACAACAGCGAGTAAGGGGAAAGAGGGGGGGGGAAGAGATGCGCAAAAAATGAACGCACGACGTCAGGACAGGACAAAACAGCAGGCTGATGGATTCCCCGTTCGTAAAACAAGAGCAAGCGCGGAGAAGCGTCCCACTGTCGGCAATGCGTCTTCGGTGCAACCAACTGCTGAGAAGACGACAAAAAAACAGAAAATAAAAGAGAGCACGAACAGTTCGGTGTCACCAGGAACTTTTATATATATATGTGCTCCTGGTGCTCGAGTGTGTACACAGTTAGCTCGCCCCCTCTAGGCCCCTGCGGCGCCGGCGGTGCGGCGTCCGTCCCCGGGACGACGCGCGTCGCGAATCCGCTCGTATTTGTTTCAAGCTTTGAGTTATGGCGACACGGCCGGCCACGCCCCGCCAGCTGGGGTGGTGCGCACAGCACACATGTAATTGATGCTACCTGTGTTATTTTTACGACGCAGCCTTACGGCCGAATGTCCAGGCGGCGGCGGCAGCGGTGGCCGTCCGAGACGATGGGACCGTTCGTACCGCCCCGCCCCGCCCCGCCGACCTAACCTCACTCTCAGGGCAGTCCGCATTGTGCGAGAGGTATCCGCGTGGCCCAGAACAGAAGTGCAGGAGCGCTGAGGGGAGGCAGAGTAGAGGGTACGGCGAGGCAGTCGACGGATCTGATAGGGCGAGGCACTATAACTCCGCGCGCGAATAGAAAAGCCCCACCTCGGGATGGAGACACGGTATATGAGGCTGTAGTAAAAAGTAGAGAGATCCAATGTTACGGGTCTGTTCCGAAATGCGAGCTGATTGGCCGTCCTTTTGTTTCTCCTCCGCTGATTGGTTTGTTGTATTATTTTTTTTGTCGCGTTTCCGCCCCATCTCTATCCGCTTCACAGGAAACCGAAACGAATTTTTAGGCGCGAAAATGCGATTGGATGATCCTCTGTGTAGTCCAGGGGGCGGCGGCACTGGCGCCGGCGGCAGCCGTCCGAAACGCCCCCCACCCCCCTTCTCCTCCCGTCTCACCCCCATGCCAATTAGTAACTAGATCGAACACGTGCCGCGCCCCCGAACTTGACACACTGCGACCCTTTGGGGCGGCCGGGCTCCGGGCGCCGCCGGCTGAGCAGTGGACTGAGCAGTTGCTGAGCAGGCGCCACCCCGAAGACAGAGGAGAGATTAACAATGTAATAAAAGTAATAACCAGCGGACGAGCGGGCCTGTTGTGCTGCATATAACATTAGTTTCGTGTGAAGTAATTTGACTCACAAAACGCACCGCGCGCGGCTCGCGCCCACCGGTCTGTGCGTTCTGCCCCTGATATAATTCCCGCAGTGTGTGTCTGTCTGTGCGCCGGCGTCTCTGCCCGTCTGTCTGGGCGTCTGTCTTTGCCGCTTCACCTCTTCCTTCCCCCCTTTCTCCCCCAATTTCTCCACCTCCGCCTGCCCGCCGCCGCACCGCGCCGACGATTTTTTTTTCATCATAACTCTATCCACTTTACTCGAAATTGTTGTTGTGTCTGCGAGTAACTGATGCGGGTGGTTTTGGCACGCCGGTGGCACGCGCTACACATATAGGGGCCACTACAAACGGACCACACCCGTCGATACGGGGGGAACTTTTTTTCTTCTCTCTCTCTCTCTCTCTCTCTCTCTCTCTCTCTCTCTCTCTCTCTCTCTCTCTCTCTCTGTTTGCATTCCTCCCTTCGTTCCCCCATAATTTCTTCTCTGCTACCCCCCCCCACCCACCCTGCCCCGTTCTGCCAAATTGTTGGCCTTCTCCGGGCGTGACGTCACAGTGTCGCGATGACCAGCGCCACTCCAAAGGGGCGCCACTCCAGAGTGTCTATTTGCTCCTCATCCCGTGGGAAACAGTTTGGGTTTGGTTTGGAGTTTGGAGTGCGGGCGTCTTTTCCTTTTGAGAGAGAGAGATGCTCATCCCGTGGGTCTGACTCACCTGACCGCCCCGCCCCCTCGAGGGGCCCCGCCGCCGGCCCCACCCCCACTCGACGCGCCAAAACAGGTGCCGGCCCAGAGAGGGGATAGGATTAATAAATTAAAATTGCAATAACTTTGCTCATCCTTATTCGCTCTCGGTTTGCCAAAAAGGCCCAGCCGCTGGCGCCTGGCGCGGCGGCCGCTCGCAGCACTCGCGGCACACTCATGTAGTGTGCGCAGTGTGAAGTGCAGCGAGGGCTAAAAGCAAATGAGGGCAGGATGAGCAATAGTGCGAACATAATATTCCGACCCCTACCTGTACCCTACCCTTATACCCCCCCCCTCTCGCCTGTTGTTTTACTGCTGCCCAAACTTATGACTCATTTACGCCCTACGTGAAGCCCGTATGCGTGCACCACTTATTGGATCCAGAAACAGGGGGAAAAAGCTTTTGAAAAATTTCTCGACTCACGGTGGTGTTCGTAATTAGAAAACGAAGTGGAATAAAACAAAACTGAGTGCATCGCATCGGCTCTCTGAAACATTGAGCGTGTTGTGGCGCGTTAGGCGTCACGCCCCGCGCACCGCCACGTCCTAGTAGCGTCGCGCGGGACAAAGTTTTGGACGCGGACAAGTGCGGCGAGGAGTTGGAGCAGCCGGTGCCGCCGGCGCGAGACGCTACGCCGCGCCACTCCGCGCCGCTGGACTCTGAACACCACACCACCCAGAGAGTGTTTCCGTCGACCTTCGGCGCCTCTCCGTCGCCGCCACGCCTCCCGGCGTACCCCGTTCCTCCCCTCCCCCTTCCTGCGCACCGGTGAGCGGGGCTGAGCGGGGGGCTTCTTTGAGGTGCCGCCAGCGCGCGGAGCGGAGGAGCGGCTCTGCGCAGCCGTCAGGTACCCTCTGTGAACGCGCATTGCAACCTGCTGCGACCGCCCATAGCTGCAGCCGCGCACGGAGAAAAGGCGATGCATCCAATAATACCACTCCTCCAATTTTCAAGTAGAGGTTCTTGGTTTATCCTCACAAAATAAATTATCCTTTTTATTTTTTGCACGTCGTCTGGTGTAGAAGTGACGTATAGGCGCACGCCGAATTTCTCATACTCGTTGCAACAATAGTACTGCCGGGAGTGCGGCGGCCAAGGTTGCTCTCACTAGACACGGGTCCGCGGGCCCCGCACCGCGCCGCCGTAGGCTGCTGTAGGCCGCCGTATAGGCCGGCGCACGTCTTCCGCCTACTGCTGCAGCAGGCGGGGGACCCCGGGGGCAGCCTGCAGCGCGACCGGTTTGAGTGCGAACTAGTTAATTCGCAAACGACCTCGATATCGAATGCCCGTCAAACGGCTGGGCGGACGATATGACAGACTTTACGGTTTTCGATGCGACCTAGCCAGAGTCACCTTAAACGGACCTTAAATGCAACGACAGAACGTGGGGATGGGGATAATTAAATGGGAAAGCTATCCATGTATGATAAACTGAGGGTAGTCACAGGTGGTGGTTTAGAGACCGGTGACGGGCGACAGCGGAGGAGAAAGGTATGCGCGGAGCGCAGGGTGACGACCGCGACCAGGCCAATTCATCATTTACATGGGGTGTTTGAAATAAATGCGTTCGAGGAGGCTCGCTCACGCATGCAGGCCGGGCGGCACGCGTTCGCCGCGCAGGCTTCACCCGAACGCCCCCTCTGCCCTCCCCCCCACACCGGCCGCATTTACATTTTATAACCTGTCGGAGGCAAAGCGCTGCCGACTAAATGCGACAGGCGGTAGATAGTCATCTCGCATACATGTATGTAAGAGCCAAAACGGCGAGGAAGGGACACGGTGCGCGCGGTGGGCGCGGCCCCCGACACAAACCTTCTCGCGGACGTTACAAAAGTAGAAACGTCTGTACGTACGCTGCCCGCGCTGCTGCGCACCCCCGCGTGAAATCAAAGCCTTGCCTAGTTTGGAAGAAGTACGCCCAGGAAATACACAACCACCTACTTGCCGCTGCGCTGTCTCGGCAGCTTCGTAATTGTTTTTTTTTCATAATCAGTTTAGAAGATGTAGAGTGTTTGG